ATCTCAAAATATTACTAACCATGTGTTCCTTACATATTCTTTCACTGGTTCCACAACAAAACATTCCTTATAATTGGCCCTGAAATTGAAATCATCGAAAATTTCACCTATTCATACTGCAATTTTGGTTTGCAAGATAATTCGGCTCAACACGCTTCGTACAGATGTAAACTACGAGAGTACGTGATAGAGGTGTAAGGACTTTTTTGAAATCTAGCTTTTTTGCAATTGAGATAAGAATTTGGAAGAATTAATACAGAACTGAGGGGTACCTGTAAAGTGCGAAACGAAATAGAAACGAAACGAACTGAAACGAAACGAAATCTAAAACGAAACGAAACCTACCGAAACGAAACAAAAAACGAAATCAAGAAACCTACCGAAACGAAACAAAATCAAGACGAAACGAAACGAAATCAAAACGAAACCTGCCGAAACGAAACGAAACAAAACTATCAAAATGATTTTTTTTTTAAATCAAGGTATGTACTAGTATATAATTATATATGTGTAACTAACTGCATGTGGACTTTTTATTTTACTTCAAATAAAATTTATTTAGTTCATGCAGTAGTCTTGTTAATATAAAATTTAATTACCGATAAATTATGCTCCCTTCTCGTTCTAATGATTTATTTACACGTTTGCCAGCTGCAAATATGCAACAGCGTACTGCATGTATAATTTCAATATGTGCAGTATTTTCTATTTTTTATGTCTTACTCTTATTTTCAGCCCTCGTTTATCTAAATACAACATATCTATCAAAATTGGCGTGTTACATGTAAAGGCTCGTTTATGTACGGGTCGGAATAAAGTCACAGTACTGTTGTATTGCGAATATCTTAAAACATAGGATAAACCAGAGATTTCCGAGTATTTAGTATTCAATTCCGAAACAATTTAACTGACAAGAAAAAAGTCTCTCGAAGCGAACGATGTCATTTTTTAAGCAGATGAATTATTTAGTGTTATATTAACAAAATATGACATAAACGCAGGTAGGTTTAGCCCCCCTCCCATTTTTTACAAAGATATATATTATACAGGCATTGAAAATTTGGGTTTACCTTTTTGGTTTGGTCAAGCCCCCCCCCCCCCCTCCCCTACTTTCAATTTCCTCCCAACGCCTATGAATGAACTTAATTAAAGCGAAACAATTGCCTGTGGTGTTTGAACTTTATAAATTTCATATGAAGTAAAAATAGACCATATGCAGTTACACATGATCTATAACTATATGTACATATATATACCATGATTTGAAAAACATTCTGAAAGTTTTGTTTCGTTTCGTTTCAGTAGGTTTAGTTTCGTTTCGTTTCGGTAGGTTTCGTTTTGTTTCGGTAGATTTCGTTTCGTTTCGGTAGATTTCGTTTTGTTTCGGCAGATTTCGTTTCATTTCATTTCGTTTCGTTTCTATTTCATTTCGCACTTTACAGGTACCCCAGAACTGAGCGCACTTTTTGTACGCAATAAATATACAGTTTTTTCAATGGGTGGCACTGTAGCTCTCCTGTCTGTCATTCGGAGAGCTACAGTTCTGCAGCTAGTTGCCACACAGCACACATGAGTCTAAAGCAAAGACCGCGTTATACAGTTTACAAGTATACTAGTAAACAATTTCACTTTCTCTATTTAAACAGGATTTGTTGAATATAATTGAAAATGTCGTGTATGTATATATACATTTCCAAATGAAAATTTCCAAATGATTAAATCACCAATTATTATCAGACAGAATATTACGAGATTTTGCTCCAACAGACAAGGATAAAGTGCGTTTTACAGTATGCCAAGCCTTTTACATCTCGCACAAAAGAGGAGAAATGTAGTGGTGGATCTAAACGGAGTTTGGGGGGGGGGGGGTTAACATCCTCTGAGAGCGAACAAAGAACCCTACATATTTTTTGCGTTTTTATTAAAGTAAAGCTATATATCTCTATGGTTAAGAAAATTTTAAACTTTAGTTTTAATCTTTAAACGTAAAAACTACTTTAAAAACATCAAACTTCCGACAGAGTGGATTGTACCAAACTGTGCACGGAGACGTAGAGGACTATGAGTAGTTTGTTTATACATGTAGTAATGTACATGTATTATGTATTGAAGAAAACACTGTAATGGCACATGCAAATTTTCAATGTCACAGGATAAATGTGAGATATTTTAATAACAGATCAAGCATTCCAGTTTCTAATTGCTTCATTGAAAGGACCAGTGGGTTTGCGGCCGATTTTTGACGATTGCGTCAATATATGTTTTTTGTCTATACATTTTGTAGCACTAGCTAGAACCCCCAGTATCCATAGTGCTTCGATTGACTGGTTAGTGACCCATACGCATAAGCACAAAAGCGCACACCATGCAGTTATGTTACAAAGCTAGCTAGCATACTACAGAGGGTGTTTAAGGATCAGAGGGTGCATACACTACATATAAAGACAATCACAGTGCAATATTAATATGAATTAATATGAAGGAGATTATATGAGAGAGAGAGAGAGAGAGAGTCGGAAGCAGCTATGCTTAATTATTTTGCTACCAACGCTCATATCAGAGTATGCAGGATTAGGCATAGCATAAGATACAGTGACAGAGTTACAGTACAAGTATATAAAGCATGCACACTACAGCTATACATAGAATCATTTACAAACACAACAACACTGTAATAGTATACCCGAGTTGGAATACCATGACGTCGCGTACGATATCTTTGACACGTGGCATAAGAAAATTCATCTGTAAATAACTAAAATATCATAATTAAAATATATTTTAGACGTTTTTTGTCAGTAAAATTATAGCTACATATATGGCGATGTCATCATTTTCTGATGTTCCAGCGTTATATAAAATGTTCATGCACTTAAAAAAATATTAAAGTAATAAATTTTATATATCGAAAAAATTGGTACATGAATGTGTATAATTTGTATCCAAAATGGATGTCATAAATAATTGAAATGCTCGAAATTGTCAGCCTTGGAAAATTATGTCAAAGACCGTGACTTCCCGTTTTTTGTAGATTTGGATGGAATGAAACTAGAATTCATCAGTACCATGTCCAACATGGGGGCTGGATCCCCCTTTCAATTTTTTTTTTTTCATTTTAAATCTGGACTGGACGCACCTTTTCCTATTTTATAATCTAATATGCACCGACTGGTATCGAAAATGTAACCCGTTTGTTTTCATGAGCCGTTTTTCAATTTTTAAAAATATCATTTCGACCGATAAATAAAATGAGTTCAGTCGAAAATGATATAAATTCCGTGCTACACACTGATAAAATTACTGGTACAGTTATAATGTACACGTATCGCGGTTCCAACACATCGAATACTGGTATAATATAATTTACACAATATCCATTAAGCAGGTTAAATATATATAGAAAAGTTGCTGAATATTGCATTATAAGCAATTATTACCCATAAAAATATTAAACGACACACAATATTATAAATAACTGAAAAGAATCATTTAGTTGAATTGCGATTTTTTTTAATTTTCTCAGTTTCTGATGTTCTGACATGCAAGTAAACGTTATAATTATACACACCCTAATTGAAAAAAAAATCCAGCCCCCTTTCAGAATCAAATCCACTTACGGAGAAGGGGGGTCAGTCTTCTAAAAGAAAAATACATGTAAATCAGGAAAGCAGGTAAGGCAACAGACCTGCAAAATTAGCTTATTTATAAATAAAATGTATCCTTTTTATGATTTGATATTACTAGTCTAAATCATTTAAATATACACTGCATCAGGCCTGAGGGGTTTGTCGGGGAATGCCTCCTTTCCTTTTTTCCAACTGAGGTATTACCATATTTTTTTACTATAGAAAAAATATCCCTCGAACCCCCCCCCCCCTTCAACACACACAAACCCTGACAACCTTTTTGTTTTCTTTTTTAATAGTCAAAATGTGTATGATCGAACAGAAGAATGTGAAAAAAACCTTACCCCCCCCCCCCCCTCCCCCCCCCCCCCCCCCCCCACCCCCCGATTTTCAAATTTGAGCAATTCTTTTTTTTTTCGTTTTAATGTTATTTATTTATTTATTTATTTATTTTTATCAAGTTTCATGTTAGTTAAAATTCTATCCTCTCAAAAATGATGTTATATGCCTGTGCATTTTTTTGATGTATGCCTATCATTTTCCCTGTCACTGCAATTTAGAGCGTGACGTCACCAAAGCTTACAATCTCAAGATTTGCACACTAAATATGCACCTCTTAACTAGAGGTGAAACAAGTGGGCGGATCATAGATCTTCTAATTTTAAAGACCGATTTTTGTACTGAAGACTTTCCAGTTTCGCTTTCCCCTTGTAATATTTAATTGCCTGGTTAAAGTAGAACATTTTACAAAAAAATTAGAGTACGTCTGATGAACAACAAAGACAGGAAACCTTATATTACGCAGAATTGGGATGTACCCAATATGAAAAAGCATTTTTTTGATTTTACAATATTTCACACTGTTTGTCAATCTAGAGCATAAGTAGAGACATCATGCCAAGTTTCATGAAAATTCAACAATTAATTAAGATTTTACAACATTTACAGTTCTATGTCTAATATCCTTAAAAAATGCTCCAATCTAGCCAAAACTGCACCCAAGTTTTAAGTCAAATTTTAGCCTATTAACACATTTATACGAGACAAATGAGACAAAATTTTGAATTTCCTGACAAATCGCATAACGTCGTCTGTCAAATATTCATGAAACTTCAATTCTTATATCCGTGTAATCTTAATAATGCATAATTTACAAAACAAAGATGTAGATCTAATTAATTCGAAATTCTTAAATAAGAAAAAAATCTATATAAGTGCAAAATGTATATAGCAGTGCATGTACAGATTAGTTATAGATAAATACTTTCACATTCTCATCACCTATCAAATATGTAAATTTCCTCACCCCCACCCCATCCCCCACTTCAATGAATTTTTATTTTTTAGAAAACTTTAACTTACACATTTTGTCGACTGTCACATTTTGCTGGTGCTGTTTCAAGATGTATTCAAATGGGTATGCATTTGCTGGCCAATAGTTTTAAACACCATCAGCATGGGCCTCATGTTTTTCCTGTACCAATCACCATGAACCTAAAAAAATCAATACAATAAATGGCACAATATCACATTTGCAAACAGACAGACACACAGACATTCAAAACGTACAATTTTACCATATTCCTTTTATGCCCATTACTTGAAATTAATTAATTTAAAAAATGATTAATATGCTCCCACCTGAAATCACACTGTTAACATTAGTAATTATATATAAGTTAATTCAGCAGAATAGGTAAAAATCATGTTTTACTGACAATAATTGTACATTCAACAAATACATGTAATGCAATTGCTAAAAAATATGAGGAAAACCAGTTAATGTGCATGTTCACACACATCGTTTAACTCCCAGACAACTGTAACCAGCTTCACCGCGCAACTGATCTGAAATGATGTATATAACTCATTCTTCAATACTGGTGAATTTTTAAAATATTTTTCTTTTCTCCTTTATTTTCCAATAAATAAAGTGGAAGCAGATAGATTGATATTGATATGATTTGATACTTGTGTAAGGATATAGTATAAATAGTTTCATGGATATGAGTTGAGGAATAAAAAAATATTGATCATTGTTGTATTGCATTTACGGGATTTCAACTGCAGAAAATGTGACATAATTTTCGAATAGGCATAAAGATGTTGTTTTATTTAAAAATAATATCATTTGGCATGATATATGTGTACATTATCTTAGCATATAAATGAAATAATATATTTATTTTGTCAAACATGCTAAAATTATCCTAATTATTTTTTTCTGAACTTAAAAATCTGTAGTTTATGTTCGTAACGCATGGTGTCCATATGCATTGAACTTTTTAACACCTCTCTACAAACATTAAATAATTTGTCAAGTTCAATTTCTGTGTTTAATTGATGAGTATGTGTGATAAATTATTTTTAACAATATGCTTCATGAACATAACTCAGTTCTTTTTGTAATTTTAAAATGATCTCTGATTGTAAAATGTTTGGTGTCTTGACCGTTACGAACATAATAGCTTTCAGTATAATTGCTAAAATAACAGCCAATGAATCATAAGTTTGGCTCAGGAAGTCCGTAGCAGTGGTATAATTATAAATTGAAAACGAAAGTAGAAAGGTTGCGCAGCTGTCTGCAAAAAAACATGGCAATGCTCATTGTGTCCACGTGGAAGACAGAAGTTACGTACATAATAGATGCGGTGAGTATTTTCATATTGTATCAATTTTAGTGAATTTTTAACACATAAATACAGTCATTGTATCTCTATACCATGTACCCATTAATCAGAAACTGAAATATGTCGCTTATGACCATACAAAATGCATAAATCTGTCCGAGTCAAGTACTTTTGGTTTAACATTTGACTTTTGATTCGCGTCTTTTGTTATGAACATGTGTTTTTGCATTATTTGTATAATCTATTAATGATAAAGTTATATTGTACTATATTTTATTCTATATTTGTTTGTTTTGTTCAGCTCTGATCAAAGGATGAATATTTTTGAATATTTGTTTTAATATTGCCATATCATTTACGCAATTACGTTCATAACAGAGACACGAAAACTTGAAGTAGTGACATAATTTGTACTTTAATTGCCTTCTTTCTGGTTTTATCAAGGATATATAATAAATATAATTAAACAGCATATGTGTTGATTACATCATGTTGTATTTTGTTTTTTATATATTTTTTTCTTTCAGATTTACAAGAAATGACTGAATAATGTTCGTAACAATGACACAAAGATCCAAGACTCAAAATAGAAGACCTAGGATATTTAGCAATCCATCTGAAAATTTACTTGTCTGCATTAATTCTCTTTGAAAGCTAGTCTATTATTAAGCTTTGGAATGAAATATTAAAAGTATTAAAGACAAGTGTTCGATTGTCTTGTTATGTTTTTTGTTCGTTTTTAAAGCCTGATTCGGAGTTAGGTGTCCATGTTACTTACATAATTTCTCCTTTTTTGAAACGAGAAATAAAAATTGTGACTTTTTAAATAAATTCCATTTAATATAAAATTAAACATGATTTCATCATACCTTTTTGATTACATTATTTTCATATTTTAACAACTTGTTAAATTCTAGTAACATGTTACTTGTTTAGTGCTTATGTAAGTAACGGTGTCCATTGGTAATCTTGGATATATTTTCTAATTATAATGGAATAAGGCAGAAATAAGTCATGCAATAAAACATGCAAACTAGTGTTTATATACTTCAAAACGGATTCACCAGAAAAGAATAGCTTATTGATTTAAAAAACAGTCACTGTGGACACCAAGTTACGTACATAAAATTTCAGACATGCTTGTACATTTGGACACCTATCTCCTCTTTAAGACTTCAGATTATCTTCCCATCAATTTTTTTCAGAAGCAGGAAGGGTACTGACTCAATTAATGTACATAAATTATGAAATTGATTATTTTTAAAAAAATAACCCTTTGGTCACACATCTGAACTCAGTACTGAAGAATGAGTTATATGTATGTCATGTATGTGACGAGCCGATCATCGACATGTTCCAAAAACATTAAATTGTTATTTACAAATATTGTACTAAGGTATACCTCTTACCTCCTGTGTAAAATACAAATGCACATCACCTATATACTGCTAAACACCGCACTGAACAGTTTTGATAACTTTCTGCTAAGTCTACTTTCACTTCGACCTTGACCCCGATTGAATACCGATCCCGAACTCATTTGTGAATTTTTGTGTATTGAAAATAAACCACAGTGGGGCATGTACATCTACATAATTGCTTCTTAATCAAATTATACATTTATGATTCTGAATAAATAAATTATATAAATCGATACATTTAATCTACATGATACATGTGTAAACAATGGGTGATACACATATGAGCATGTTGACTGTTCAGGGGGGAGGGGTGGGGGGGGGGGGGGGGTAGACACTTTATTTATGAATCAATTTGTTTAAAAATGTGTATCAACAATAAAAGAATTGTTATTTTCATAAATCTGAACAATTGAAAATAATAGAAAACACCAACTTTTAAATAAATTCAAGATTTATGACATCTTTCACTTACTTATAGGCTTCCTAATATGGGTACAGTCCACTAATTGTTTTCCCATAGGCGACAATGTTAACGTTTCTTCTCATAGCGATGTCCCTAATTTTCGTTCAGAAGTGAGTGACCCTTCAAATCAAAGCACATCTACTTGTCTTTTCTTGGTTAAAATCTCGAGGTGGCATGTCAGATTCGTTTTCCGGCAAAATGCGTATGTCTGCGGGAACCTCTAAAAATGAAAGTGAAAGTAGGGGAATTTCAGAATTATCACTGGCGTTATAATACACAAAATAATTCAGCTGATCTTCTTGATAAATTACATCTTCCAAGTTTTTTTGGTAGGAAAGATACTCCTTATCAACAAGTGTGAGGCTCAATTCAGTACATCTGCCCAATTTTTTTTATGCAAGTCTGCAAATTAAGGAACTTGTAATTTTTTCTGCACTACTTTCTTCTCCTACCGATTCTAAAAATAATTAGTGGGATGTACCCAATATGAAAAAGCATTTTTTTGATTTTACAATATTTCACACTGTTTGTCAATCTAGAGCATAAGTAGAGACATCATGCCAAGTTTCATGAAAATTCAACAATTAATTAAGATTTTACAACATTTACAGTTCTATGTCTAATATCCTTAAAAAATGCTCCAATCTAGCCAAAACTGCACCCAAGTTTTAAGTCAAATTTTAGCCTATTAACACATTTATACGAGACAAATGAGACAAAATTTTGAATTTCCTGACAAATCGCATAACGTCGTCTGTCAAATATTCATGAAACTTCAATTCTTATATCCGTGTAATCTTAATAATGCATAATTTACAAAACAAAGATGTAGATCTAATTAATTCGAAATTCTTAAATAAGAAAAAAATCTATATAAGTGCAAAATGTATATAGCAGTGCATGTACAGATTAGTTATAGATAAATACTTTCACATTCTCATCACCTATCAAATATGTAAATTTCCTCACCCCCACCCCATCCCCCACTTCAATGAATTTTTATTTTTTAGAAAACTTTAACTTACACATTTTGTCGACTGTCACATTTTGCTGGTGCTGTTTCAAGATGTATTCAAATGGGTATGCATTTGCTGGCCAATAGTTTTAAACACCATCAGCATGGGCCTCATGTTTTTCCTGTACCAATCACCATGAACCTAAAAAAATCAATACAATAAATGGCACAATATCACATTTGCAAACAGACAGACACACAGACATTCAAAACGTACAATTTTACCATATTCCTTTTATGCCCATTACTTGAAATTAATTAATTTAAAAAATGATTAATATGCTCCCACCTGAAATCACACTGTTAACATTAGTAATTATATATAAGTTAATTCAGCAGAATAGGTAAAAATCATGTTTTACTGACAATAATTGTACATTCAACAAATACATGTAATGCAATTGCTAAAAAATATGAGGAAAACCAGTTAATGTGCATGTTCACACACATCGTTTAACTCCCAGACAACTGTAACCAGCTTCACCGCGCAACTGATCTGAAATGATGTATATGTATGTCATGTATGTGACGAGCCGATCATCGACATGTTCCAAAAACATTAAATTGTTATTTACAAATATTGTACTAAGGTATACCTCTTACCTCCTGTGTAAAATACAAATGCACATCACCTATATACTGCTAAACACCGCACTGAACAGTTTTGATAACTTTCTGCTAAGTCTACTTTCACTTCGACCTTGACCCCGATTGAATACCGATCCCGAACTCATTTGTGAATTTTTGTGTATTGAAAATAAACCACAGTGGGGCATGTACATCTACATAATTGCTTCTTAATCAAATTATACATTTATGATTCTGAATAAATAAATTATATAAATCGATACATTTAATCTACATGATACATGTGTAAACAATGGGTGATACACATATGAGCATGTTGACTGTTCAGGGGGGAGGGGTGGGGAGGGGGGGTTAGACACTTTATTTATGAATCAATTTGTTTAAAAATGTGTATCAACAATAAAAGAATTGTTATTTTCATAAATCTGAACAATTGAAAATAATAGAAAACACCAACTTTTAAATAAATTCAAGATTTATGACATCTTTCACTTACTTATAGGCTTCCTAATATGGGTACAGTCCACTAATTGTTTTCCCATAGGCGACAATGTTAACGTTTCTTCTCATAGCGATGTCCCTAATTTTCGTTCAGAAGTGAGTGACCCTTCAAATCAAAGCACATCTACTTGTCTTTTCTTGGTTAAAATCTCGAGGTGGCATGTCAGATTCGTTTTCCGGCAAAATGCGTATGTCTGCGGGAACCTTTAAAAATGAAAGTGAAAGTAGGGGAATTTCAGAATTATCACTGGCGTTATAATACACAAAATAATTCAGCTGATCTTCTTGATAAATTACATCTTCCAAGTTTTTTTGGTAGGAAAGATACTCCTTATCAACAAGTGTGAGGCTCAATTCAGTACATCTGCCCAATTTTTTTTATGCAAGTCTGCAAATTAAGGAACTTGTAATTTTTTCTGCACTACTTTCTTCTCCTACCGATTCTAAAAATAATTAGTGGGATGTACCCATATAACGCCACCCCCGTTATAATGCCAAAATGACCAAGGTACAAATGTTGGCGTTATAACGGGGGATCACTGTAGTTTCAATAGTTCAGACACATTTTAACTACATTGTATACGGAATAATGCATTATCTTTGCTTTTTTAGACTCAATCACAGCTAAATTCGGTCAGGTTTGTGAGAATATGTTCTTTTATGGCAAGAGAATGGGTGGGTCTTAGTTCAATAGAGGAATATGCATGTCCTAGAAGATCTTATATAGCTATTGTTATTGTTTAGCACATAGTCATTGTCCAATCCGATGACAAAACAACAAAACATGCTGGTTTACTACGTTTACATTTTAGCACAGACACGAGGTTTAGGACAATTAACCTGTTATCCTTTTCTACATTTCAAACTTTTATAATGGTCTACCAAGGCTGTTTATGCTTAATAATACGCATGTATTTTAAGCAGTTACGGTTTTGAGGACAAGAAATGCACATGAAACTTGTATTTTTACTGATACACGGTAATACGTGTAGACCTAGCGCATTGCTCACCAAACACGCTACCAGTGACCAGCAAAAGGAGACAATTGTACCTACCTGCGCTCGTATATTTTAAGGGCTTCAAAGAGTGTGGAGGGGGGGGGGTAAAAATGCAATGGAAATTGGATGTAAACATGATACCCCCACCCCAATAAAATATGTATATCTTTCGAATCATGTTTCTATTTTTGTTTAACATAGTATTACATAAAGGTACATATTTCAGTGATTAGTTACATAAAAAATTGAGTAAAATTTAGACATTTAATTTTTTGTCAATTTACCGGGGGGCGCAAGTCACCTCATCCTTTGCCAATTGTTTCTTCTTAGCACTGAGCTATAGAACCCAATATTTTGACTGACGTTCACACATCTGAGAACCCGCCATCCCCCTCCATGATGTACTGACAAAGGCCTTTTGTTCCTTAATAAATAATAAGTGTTATTAATCAAGTTTATATAGAATTTGGTGACAAATTAAAAAAATCATATTTATAAAAGTAATCAATTATAAATTTAAGCATTCGGGCCAAAAACATGATTAATCTCTATACATACAAAATGATTGAAAATTTATCCAAAGGGACATTAATAACATAGGTCAATATACCGGTATCAATTAATCAGGTCATTTAAAAAATAAATAGAATAAAAATGGAACCTACCTTCTTCTTCTTAAAAATATTCATTCGCTTAAGAACAGATGCTTTGATATGTATTCATCAAAGGAAAGTTCATTCCTCACATACAATGAACAATTTTTAAGTTGGGCAAATTACACTTCCTATTCAAATGATTTCAAAATTTTTATATTTTAGCAAAAATTTCAACAAAATGAAAATGTGATTAGCAGACTCAATTATCTGATAAGCAGTCAAGGTGACCAGACGTGTTTTTTACAGCTCCTGAAGATCTTATCTCTACTTAGCTTAACAATGGAATAATAATGAGTTTGAGTGATAATTCTAATCTTTTCAAGTCACTTTTGGACTCATTTACCGGATTTTCAAGATCATTTATTTTAACTAATGATCTGCCAACGGAATCTGTGGGACCTAGTGTAAATGATGTGCCAAATTTCTTGCAAGTACAGGAAAATCAGGAAAGTGTTACAATTACTTTCGATTGTGACAAGTACCCCATCATTTTAGATCTGTTGGAGAAGAAACTCCTATTATTCAAAGACAGCAATGAAAGGCAACATGGATCTATTTATAAATCACAGGATAAAACTGTCACGGTTACCATCTACGAGACAAAAAGCTCTCTACATATCCAAGGGGAATCGTATTTTTCTTGGTATCAGGAGTTCCTCACGGACTTGAATAAATTGGATGTAAATTTGGAAACAAGTTGTAAGACTTTAGATGAAACATCTCTTCAATGCACCTCCACCCCTAAGGGTAAGACATCACAGAATTGTCATCAGTGTATTAGCAGTGCCAAACTTATTCAGGAATTGTCTGATACCGTCAAGCTTTTGTCACAATAAGTCAGTGACCTAAAACAGCAACTAAATAGGTCAAAATATGTCACATCGCTTGTTTCGAGAGCTACCCAAACAACTCCTAATAGGACAAAACAAAAGGAGACATCAACAGACGGACTCCTTCACATTCGATCTGGTGTATCTAGGCATACCCAATGCACCCTTAAAGCTCCTACAATATCCAATAGTACCATGACAGATGCCAGTGAAGCTCATACTAGGAGTTTTCCTACCTCGCCAGATTCAAACACCAAACATGGAACAAATCAACCTAGAAACATCCCAACGGATAAATCTGTCCTCATCATAGGAAGTTCCATACTACAAAGGATCCGCACCAGAGGATTGCGTTCAACTGTGCAGGTCAACACAAATCGCGGGGCAAACATCTCCCATATACGGTCCAAGCTCTCAAAAATGGATGTTTCTTCATATCGTAGTGTAATCATCTTTGCTGGTGGAAATGATGCATCTAGACGACGAGACCCAGAGGCAATAGAAAATGATTTCGCAGAAGTATTCACAGATCTCAGAAATCGGAATTCTAGTATCAGTGTATTTATCTCGGAAGTATTACCAAGGCGTGATACAAACACCAGTGAAGTTAATGGAATTATTAAAAGTTTTTGTGAAATGTATGTGATTCCAACTTCTAAATTCTTTGGTCGTGGAAATCCCAAACAAGAGTATTATTGGAAAGACAACATTCATTTGTCAGACAGAGGTACAGCAGAACTGCTAGAAATTGTCCATCAATACGTGAGTATCCTCAAAGTCGGAAATTAAACGTACGTATGAATGGTGAAGAATCGGAAATACTTGGCAGTACTTCCTTCTACCGTCCAGCCTTCTGTTATTTCTGTGGAGAAAGTGGACACATATCACGACACTGCAGACATGGAAGAAAGTTGGACTGCTGGAATTGTGGGGAACTAAGTCATAAAACCAAGCTTTGTCCGAATGGACACTAGGAAACTGGCAACGAATGTGTAGCCGACCATAGTTCCCAAACGATTCCTATTGACAACAATGTTTATTCGACTCTTAGTAGATTATGTTCAGAATTTAATATGATCCACTGTTCATGCAAACAATGTGAATATTTTTCTCTAGATCTTGTAACAAATTCAAAAAAATTAATTACTTCACCAAATACTTCTAAATTCTCAAAACCAGACAAGAATACTTATAGATTTCATACCAAGAAGTTTTCACAATCTGCTAATCATACTATATCTAAAAATGTGAATATACATGTACCACATGTACTGAGCAATGATGGGTTTGGTTTGGTGAAAAAAGGTCTAAGATTTGGAAATCTAAACATATGCCACTTATTGCCTACAATTGAAGAAATTAAACTATTACTTCATGACAAACAAACTGTAAATATTTTAGTACTTTGTGAAACCTTCTTGAATGATCAAGTCAACGATTCTGAATTGTATATTGAGGGTTTTGATATGGAAAGAAAAGATCGCATTCTGAGAGCATGTGGTGGAATTATTGTCTACATTTAATAATATAAGATATAAACGTAGGCCTGATTATGCAAACTCCTTGATGTATGGCATAAAAAGCAACTTGTGAATAAACTGCAAAAAGTCCAAAATACTGCTGCGCGGCTGATAACGCGTACCAGGAAATCTGATCACGTGACCCCAATCTTGAAAGATCTCCACTGGCTCCCTGTCCAATACAGAAGTCAATATAAAATACTTTTGTTTGTATACAATGCATTGAACAATCGTGCTCCAAATTACTTATCCAAGCTTCTCAAAATATACTCTCCTTCCAGGTCCTTGCGTTCACAGTGTTCTTTTCTTTTGGATGTTCCTAAAGTTAGAACTGTTACGTACGGCAGTCGTCGATTTGACTACGCCGCCGCCTCACTATGGAACTCTCTCCCTCTGTGTCTAAAAAATTCCAAATCTGTTTCCGCTTTTAAAAAAGGACTTAAAACTCACCTTTTTGAACGAGCTTACGAGGGAATGTAAATATTGTTTTTATAGTGATATATATACCTAATGTAAAAGGACACTGGACTGATCTAAAAGTTTTTAATATTTTTTTTATTTCGTGCTCTAGTGACCGAGTACATGTTCCTTTGATATTTATTATCATTATTTTTTAAAATGTTTCATAAGTTGTAATTTTTTTTTAAAGTGACTCCCACGCAACGTAATTTTTTATGGTCTTTTAGTACACATAAAGTCTTTTAGATATCCTATTTTTATGCACAAATATGTATCATGTATTTTTTAAAGTAATTTGTTCGCCATTTTGCAAGCTTATACCTTTTTTAATGTGAAGCGCACTAGAGTGTCATTATTATAATGCGCTATAGAAATTTTTGTATTGTATTGTATTGTATTGATTTTGAAATCAGTAATATTGAAACAATTTGGCTGGAATTAAAGATTAAAAATTCTAAACCAATTTATTACTGTTCAGCATATCGTCCACCATCTGCTCCCTCCTGCTGGGCAGAGGACCTGGCTAGAGAGATTAACTGTGCCTCCTGCTGTGACGATGCAGAAATTAACTTAACAGGTGACTTTAATGTAGACTTATTCAAAGAACCCTCACAAAGTTGGACATATGCTATGGAAGGGTATGGTTTTTTACAATTAATTACAGCACCAACCAGAGTAACTAATACTTCAAGTACCCTAATGGATAACTTTTACACCAATAAACCAGAT